AGTTAGTATAAAAATAGTTAGTAAATATAGTAGCTTTAGGTAGTTAGTAACTATTATAATAGTTATACTAAGTATATAAGTAATATTAGTACTAGTAACTATACTATAAATCTTAAAGGCTAATATACTTTAAGTAACTTATTTATACTTTATTAAGCTAAAGTAAATAATATTACTAGTTATAGTAAGTTTATTACCTATAGTAGTACTCATAAGTACTTTATTAATAAAAATAATAATAAATCTTAGCTATAAAGTAAAGTCCTTATTATTTATAAATAATTTATTTATAAAGATAAAAAGCTTTATAGATTTAAGGTTAAGTAAGTAAAATAATAAACTATAGTTAAGGTTATTTATTTACTATATAATATAATAGTTAAGTACCTTAATCTCTTTTATATTAAGTAACTAGTATTATACTATAATAAAGTAGTTAAAGTATACTTTAGGCTAATAAACTAATGTAATATATATACTATAGGCTTATTACTTAATATACTACTTAAGTACTTATAAAGATTTTTTATTAATAAGTTAAAGTCTTTTACCTTTACCTTTTTATTAAAAAAGAAGCTTCTTATTAGTAGTTAAAGATACTATACTACTATTAAAGATAAATAGGTTATTAATAGTAAGGATTTACTTCTCCTTAGTAGTAAATATAGCCTTAGTAAGCTTATTAGCCTTATAAGTAAAAAAAGATTTATTTAAAAGGGTAATAGTATTATTAGTTTATATACTAATAATTCTAAAGTTTAGCCTCTTTATAGTAGTAATTAGTAAGTATAAATTAAAGGTTAAAGTCTTTATCTAGAGCTTTTTTTTATAATAATAACTATATATTACTTACTAGTAAGTGCCTACCTTTATAATACTATATAATAGCTTTATTACTTATATAATAGTGCCCCTTAGATAAAGGTCCTATATTTATAATAAAAGATATATAAGAATTATATAATTTCATAAAGTAGTTAACTATATATATACTTAAGTAATATTTTATAACTAAAGTAAAGAATTCTTATTATTATAAATAAGGGATAAGGTAAAAGTAAAAATAAGGTACTAGCTAGCTTACTAGATTATAAGTAACTAAGTAAGAATTACTTCTTTACTATTATTAGTGTATTTTTAAATAATAAAGTAGAATTTCTTATATAGTTTTTTATTTTAGCCTTTTACCTTATTAATAATCTATAATTTAAATATTTATACTTTAGTAGACTTATTGTTATTATATTAAATAAAGTTAAATACTTTATAAGTAATAAGCCCTTTAATCTTAGTTATAGTTACTTACTCAAAGGGCTTCTCTAGGGTAGTAATAATACCCTTTTTCTATAGCTTAATTAATAATAGTTAGTTAGCTTTTTTTTATTAAGATATATACTATATTTATAGTAGTAAAGAAGGTAGTAGGCTTAATAGTAAAGCTAGTTTTATTAAAGAAATTAATATACCTTTATAGGTAGCTAGCCTTTTACTTTAGCTATAAGTATATGGTAATAGTAATACTATTATATATTTCTTTAGTAAGCATAAGAACATTAGTAAGTAATAAGGCTACTATACTATTATTATTATTATCTTTATTACCTTACTTATTTACCTTAGATAGTAGCTACTATTACTTATTATAAGTATCTTTAAGGTAAAGTTTAATAATAGTTAAATAAAAAGTCTATAGGCCTTAAGGAAAGTTAATAGTATAAGTAGTTCTATTATTAATAATAAGGTAAAAGAGGCCTTATTAGCCTTTTTTTTTATACTAGATATAGACTATAGATTAAAGTAAAAAAGCTATAGTTATAGTAGTATCTAGGCTATTATATATAGCTACTACCTTATTAACTTACCTTTTTATATAGATCTAGTAAATAGCCTTTATTACTTTTTTTACTACTTTAGCCCTTTTAAGTAGAGTTAATAAAGGTAGTAATAAGTTAAAGATCTATAGGTAAGTACTGAAGACTAGTAGTATAGGTACTAGGCTATTTAGGCTAACTATATTATTTATTACTTTAATAGCTAGCTAAAGAATAATCTTAGGTATATAGCCTTTACTATAAAGGATATTATATATATATAAAGAGGTAT